GCCCCCCCCGTGGACGTGGTGAAGACGCGATACATGAACTCCGGCCCCGGGCAGTACGGCAGCGCCGTGCACTGCGCCCTCACCATGCTCAGGAGGGAAGGGCCCAAGGCCTTCTACAAGGGGTGAGTAGGGGTTCGTCATAACTACCCACTGCACCTCCAAAACGTGGCCTCCTCCAGGGTGGAGCCACCACCTTGGAGCTGACTAGGGAAAGCTGGTGTCCTAGTGGCTCCAGGGTGATTTGCTGGTGCTGCAGGGGAGTTTACTGACCCCAGCTGCTCTGGCACAGGTTCATGCCGTCCTTCCTGCGGCTCGGCTCCTGGAACGTGGTGATGTTCGTGACCTACGAGCAGCTGAAACGGGCCCTGATGGCCGCACGCAGCTCGTGGGAAGCCCCCTTCTGAGCCCCCGCCACAGCTCACCGACCACCCAGGGCTCCTGTTGTGCTCTCGAGCACCTCCTCGCTCACTGATACTGAAGAGTGTCACGTTGTCGAGCGCTGGGCTCGGAGCTGTGCGCCCTCCAGGAGGAGAAGACAAAGCCTCCCTAAAGTCCCAGGGGGGCCTGAGTAAATGGTGCACCTTCTTTTTTTAAAATGGCTTGCATCTTTCCAAGGGGGACTTCGGCCCCTGCTGGTTTGCTGGGTCCGTGCTGGCCCTGGGGTGGTTTCAGCCCCATCCCAGGTGCCGAGCTGGCAGCCAGCAGCTGGAGTCACAGTCCCAGACCAGGGGCCAGAGCAGGTCCAGGACCAACCTGCACGAGGTGTTGGGGTACGAAGCCTGCACCACCGCCCTTCCTGGGTACTCCCCATAAAGACCATAACCAGCTCAGGACACTGGTGGAGCGATGATTAACTTGCCTTGTGCACGTCTGAATGAAGAAAAATCAAAGATTGAAGGACCATGGCCTGATCTGCTGTGGAAGAGCATTGTAGGCAGTAGCTTCCCAGCTAGGAGATGGATGGACTGAGGAGAACTGGGCCCTCCAGCTCCCTTGGAAAGCTTTTAGGGCTCTGGGAGTCTCCAGCCCAGCTAGAAGACTGGGACCAGCCCGTTCCAGTGCATCCTGAGGCTGCTGCAGGTCCCTCCAGCCCCATGGGAGCCATGTGGGGAGTTGTGCTCGGTGCTGCTCACCTTGGGGGCCTTCAAGCATCTTTGCAACGGGGCTGTTGCTGGGGTAGAGCGTGGCAGCTACCGAGAGGAGGCCAGAAAGCCATGTGGATGGGAGCCTGGCTGGTGGAAAAACCCAGTCTCCAAGGTGCTCTGCGTTCGTAGGGTGCCAGATAGCTGGAAGTAGCCCTAGTCCTGACACACAGAACAGAGCTTTATTGGTTGGGAAGGGATGGGGAGGGAGAGGGGGAGATATCTGCTCGTCCCCCTAGCAGAGGAGGGCATTTTTCAAGAGCTTTTTCTTGTCAGGCGTGAGCTGCTTGGGAAAGGAAATATCAAAATATATGATGAGATCGCCTTTGCGTGCGGGGTCCTGGAATAGCGGCATCCCCTCCCCTGGCACAACTTTAAAGTACTTGGGGCTGCAAAGCAAAGGAAGGGTCTGAGAGGAGCAGCGAGACGCTCCCGGCCCCGCGAGCCCAGCCTGGTGGGGACGTGGGCCTTTGGCGCTAGAGCACTGAGGCCATCTGTTCTTCCAGCGCTGGCCCCACACCGTGCAGAGCCCTGTGCACAGCCCCCAGGATATTTTTTAGGGCAGTTTTGTTCCTGCAGCTCCAACCTGGGGCCTGTACCCCGCTTTCACCCGCGTGCCCACATTCCTTACCCTCGACGCTGCGCCCACCAGCTCTGTTTTCTTTCATCTCCCTGCACCAAGCACTCTCCACACCTCTGCTACCAGCCACGTGGCCCCAACCCAGGAGAGTAACCCACGGTCCCCCTCCTCCATCTTTGGACCTGCCCCCCAGCCCGGAGCTGGCCAGCAAAACCTTTCGAAGCATCTGGCAGACGACAGGCTCAGGACTCGCCTGGGATGAACAGGTCAACGCTGAGGGTCCTCCCTCGGCGCCTGTTCACCTGCGGAGGCTCTGACAGCACTTACTGCACAATGTCGTTGATGGGGATGTTCAGCAGCCTCCCGTCCAGCGTCTTCACGTCCACCGTGCAGCCGATCAGCGCCTGCAAGACACGCAGCGGAGCCCTGAGCTGCCTTTTTACCCCTCCCCCCCCCCGGAGGGACCTCTTTTAGCAATCGTGCGAGTGAAGGGGCTGGCCAAGAAGGACAACTGGCCTTTACGGCCTCCCTTGCAGGTAAAGGCTCCTCCAAGCACTTAGCAGGGAGAGGAAGAGGATGGTAGAAGAACTGAAGAGAGGGGTCTGGCTCAATTGCTTCTCTTTGCCCAGCAGGGACGCGGGCCAGGCCCTGGGAAGATCCTTACCTTTCCCAGGGGGATGGTGACTACGTAAATTAGATTGTCATCTGCTCTCTTAAACCTGGGGTGGAGTTTCTCTTGGACAATGAAGGTGATATCGGCTGGAATAATGTTCGGGCCCTAAAGTCAAGGAAAAAGGATACCTGGAAATAGCTCAGTATAACAAACAATTTTATATAGGGAAAGGTGACAGGGATGAATGCCCTTTTGTTGCTGCTTCCAGCTGGCTGGGAGAGAGGAAAAGTATTTTCTTCCTTAAAAAAAAAAAATCCCACCTAATGATTTTTACAGTAGAAACTAGGGTCTCACGTTTCCCATTTGTCACAGAGACTCCAGGAGTGGCTGGACAGGGGGAGGGATCCAGTATGACAAGTACCACAGCACGAAATCTCAGCAAGTAAAGCAGGAAGAGCATTGTTATCCAAGTTGTTTCAGAGGCCTTTTCTTTGCTCCTATTTAATACAAATGTCCACTAAATAGTTAGGAGGAAAAACTTCCTTTGCCCAAGATTAACTTCCATATCACCTCCCTTCCCTCTCCTGCTCACACACTCAGCTTTTCCTCTTAAAAGCCGGAAAGTTCTTTAACAAAGTCTCCTGCCAAGGGAAACCAGACTGCGTTTTGCAAAGCTGACGACAGACAGAAAACCAGCCCTTCCAAACGTCGCTACCCGTCGCAAGAAAAAGCCAGGCAGGAAAGGCTTCTTGGAGTATTTCTGAGCGCAGTAACGCCTCTCTGCCCTAGAGGTATCTGCCACTTCCCTCAGTTAGCGTTAACAGCGCGTCTCCAGGCTGCGAGTCCCTGGGGCTCTGAAAGCAGGAGATGCCTCGCTGGGTCCTGCGTCCGTAGTGCACCTCCGGCAACACAGCTCTGATCCAGGATGGAGGAGGGGACCTGCCCCCTGGAGCCAGAGCTCCCCGTATTTCCTGCAGCCTAACTCCCTAATGGGCACGTGTCCCTAAAAACGTGTCCTTCTGGAAAGCTCCCCGTTACCTATGTCTCCCCTCAGCAGACCTAACTCCCCACGGCCCTCCTGGGAGGCTCTGAGCTCCTGCTGCGGAGACACGACAGGAACGGGAGCTCTGCAAAGAGCACCCGGCCATCCTAGCAAAACGTGGCCCAGGACTGAACAACCCTGCCCTTACCTGGTCTCCTTCCTTTTCAAAGGTGATCCTGGTGCCCCGCTTCCAGCCCGGCTGCACATCGATTGTCAGTATCTTATCTCTGATGGTGGTCGTCTGACCATCTTCGTTCATCACCTGGGGGTTCAACACGGGGGCTAGAGGAGCCAGTCCTGGCAAGAGACACAGGTCTGCAACCGGGTGGAAGCCCGCTGACTCAATGTGGAGAAGGGACACGTGATCGAGGACACCGAGGTGCCCAAATAAACAGGATATAACCGCGGTGAGGAGAGCTGGGCCCCCAGCCTGGCAGGAGGGCTGCGCGAGCTCCACGGCAAAGCTGCTACGGGTACCAACGGGAACAGACGGAGCAGGAAAAACAGGGCTAGGAGCAGGAGACTGGGACCATGAAAGCAGCGAGGGAAGGGATGCAAATCATTAACTCAGAGCAGAAATGGAGCAGAAGGGAGAGACAACAGGTCTCGCTGGTGCAATGTGAAAAGAAAACCGCAGGAGCCTGAAATAGGAGCAAATGAAATGAAACCAGCCCTTCTCTGTCCCCCTCTGAAATCATCAGCCCTGCCCACAAGCTCTCACGTCAGCTCTTGCGCTGAAATCCCTTCGGCAGGGATCACTGCCGCCACCGATTCGGATCCTGTCTGCATTTGGGCCGGGTTTGGTTCACGTCCCTTCCCCGCCCAGCACAGAGACCCAGAGCCTCGCGGCCTGCTGAGACCCCTCAACGGGATCAGCTGTAAAGCCCCAGGCTCTGCTGCTGAAACGTCCTACGCCTAGAGGAGAGCCCTGCCAGTCCAAATCCCTGCCCTGCTGAGGGCGACCTCGCTTCACCCACGCTGCGCCTACCCGGCGGGAGATCTTGATCTTCTTGGTGCAGCCATAGAATAGGTCTTCAAGCGAGAGATAGAGATCCCGCTCGATCGGGGGGTCTTGCTTCCTCACGCCTCGTCCTCGCAGCCCTCCGAAGGCCATGTTCGGCTCCGAGCCATCCTCGGCAAAGAACTCTGCGTGAGCACGCAGAGACGGGGGAAAGCGAGATGCAAGGGCGGCAAAGGGCTGGGGGAGCAGGGCCAGCCCTCAGCTCGGAGCTGGAATTCCAGCCTCAGCCCTGGCACGAACCCCGGGCACCTCACTCAGATCAGAGGTCGGGGGTCCCTTGGGGCCTCCTTACTGTTGAGGCCGGCCACCCCGAACCACATCCACCAACCAGAAAACGAAGCTCCCAAAGCAAGTGGCTGCATCTGTTTCTGCCTGCGACGCCCTTCCCTGTTTAGCTGACAGCTGAGCCCCGAAGCCATGTTCTCTAGTAGTATTTTTTCTTGCTTGTGTTTATGGTTATCTCACTAATCCTCCCTCTCTTTCTCATGGGAATCCCTTGCAACAAAGGCTGGGGACAGGTTGAACACCCACCGCAGGACACCAGTGTCCCTGAACACACACCCAAGAGCTGGGGGAAGTCAGGAATCGACCTCCAAGCCCTGCTAGGTGCTGGGGACCATCAGTCCCAGAAAGGAACTGGGGCCCAAAGACACAAGCGCATCAAACAGTCAATCCCCACAGAGCAGGGAATAAACCTTCCCCCAGCAGGGCAGGGCACAAAACCACCAGCCTCTGCCATTCCTCTGCGGCTGTTTGCAGCCAGTTTGGGAGTTCCTGGAACACCCCAACTAACGTTTGAGCGGGACATACAGTCACACAGGCTGAACTAGAAGGGAAACCACATCCCTAGGGCTCTGGAGAAACATAGCAGCCAAGTGCGTCAGCCTGAAGGGCAGCGACAGCCCCCAGGACGTTGCTAAAGCCCCCCCCAAAAAGGCAGCCCATCGTCTCAGGCTGCAGAGGTGGCTGCTACCTCTGAGCAAGGCGAAAGCCAGAAGAAGCGCTGAGGCAAGAAGCAGCCCAGCGGCCGGAAGCAGAGCTCATTCGGCAGCGATCCTGGGACACGTGTAACACGTATGTGAGTAGCTGGGCAGGGAGATGTTCCCATAAGTGTTCCCATAAATGTTCCCTTAAGCTCAGCAAGTGACAGCAGCTACAGCAGCCAGGGCCAGGTCCTGTCCCAACCACAGGCCAGGCCTGGGCCACTCCGAGACGCGGCAGGGCCCCCACGTACCCGCAAAGGGGTTGTCCCCACCGAAGAACTCCTTGAAGACTTTGTAGGGGTTGTTGTGAAACACATAGCCAACGGTCCAGGGGTTCTCGGTGCCGAACTCCAGCGGGATCCCACCTTTGAGACCCTCTTCTCCAAACTTATCATAGACTCCTTTCTTCATAGCTAGGGAACAAAGAGGCATTGGAAGCAGCCGCAGACTTTCCCACTTTGCGTGCAGGGCCCCAGCCTGCGATCGAGGCTTGCTTGGGAGGAGAGAAGGAGAGGGAAGAGAGTGGGGAAGCACTGCAAGATGGTGGGCAGCCACAGGCGAGGAGGGATGGAAGCAGGAGCACACACCCGGACCCAGCCCACTCGTGGCCAGCTGCCGCTCACAGCTCCCCCAATGCACCGATCCTGCTCCAAATCCCCTTGCTGCCCTCAGAGCCGACAACGCATCCCTGGGGGTGCAATCACTGCCAGCAATGGGGCAGGGGGGATTCAGACCACAGGAAACCTCCCCACTAGAGCTTTGTCCACAGCTCCAGCGGTCTCGACAGTCTCTGCAAGATCCCCGACAGACGGCAGCCCAGAGGAAGAGGGGAGTGGGAGCTGAGCAAGCTCAGGGGAAATAAGTGAGTGGGAGGAACCTCAGTCCACAGCTTCTGCAGCTGGTTGTGCCTCTGCTGGCAAGAGTCAAGTGCCCTCGGCATGAAACCTCACTAGCCATACTCAGGAGGTCTCTGTTGATCCAGACAAGCCTCATGCCCCACTCCTGCAGCGGAGTTTGCCCCCCAGGACAGACCCCACTGCCCCGGCAGGGTGGAAGCAGAGCTCAGAGCTCCCTGCCTAGCAGCACACCAGGAGCGGCGGATGACACCCCAGCGAGGCACGGCGACCGCAGCCCAGGAAGAGGGGGGACACCCTCCTGCCAGACCAGAGCTGCTTCGTGTCCGGCTCAGGCCCTCCCAGCCCCATCCCCTGTCTCCCTGCTTACGGTCGCTGAGCACATCGTAGGCCTCCGCCAGCTG